TATTGATCACCGGCAGGACACAGAGCACTTCACAGAGGAAGTGCCGGTTGCCTTCTCTGTTTTCCAAATAATGAAACTGAAGCAAAAGGAGTCTTGCACACGTAGGTGAAAGTTTGCAAAGCTCCCAGCTCTTCATTCTATCCCATCTTGCTGCTGTGGAAGAACGGTGCTGAAAGCCGAGGCGGTGTTGTCCCGTTGTGTGAGCACGCAATGGAGGTTCTAGTCAGAATCAGCCTTGAAAAAGCATTTCTTACCCAGAAGGTGAACTCTTAAGGATTTCATGGGCAGTATGGATATGCAGCTCACCTCCCTCTTTCCTCACAGGTACTACACACCAGTAGGAAATCTTTATGAACAGGGAAAGCCAGTGAAGCAAGCCACTGCAGGGGTAAGCCTATTTGTTATTTCACTTTGTAGGAAAATACAGCTGTTTGTAATCAGAAATTTTTATACTCTTCACTTGCACATATTGTTGAGTAAGTAATGTATTTGCCCTGGGGGTTTTTCCCAGGGAAGGTGGGAGCATTATTTGATGAGTAGCGCTATCACAAAGTTTCCTGCTGCCATTAATTTTGTTTCTGGACTATTATGAGCACACTCCACTCTACTGTTTTTATTCTTCCCCTTTAATGTGTTGGGTATAGCTTCAAAATCTTTAGTGCACAGACTCAGTTGACCTGCAAAGCTGGACTGCAGCATCTTTAGTCTTGTCTTGATTTTTGAGATAGGAAGTACATCTCTCTGGCTTCCATCTCTCGTCAGGATTGAGATCAGAAGTAAAATTTTAATTGTGGAAATCAGAAATATTAGTCTCAACTTGATACCTACATGCGGAGGCTTTGCTGGGGTTCTTAATGCTACTCCAAGCCAAACTAACTTTCTGCCTCTCTTGCCTCCATTTGGTTTTGGGTGCACAGTTGGAATGTAGTCATCAATAAAAAATAACTTTGGAGTTTGCTGGCTGGATGTATGTACCAAAACCCTTCCAGTTTTATACTTGAGCAGGATTTTCCATGCTGTCCCCTAGAAAACAAATCTCTGCGTGCTTGCTAGCTTAATGTCCTTTTATCTACCAGGGACAGTATGGAGCTGGAATCCCTGAAGAAGTGTTGTTGCAATTGCGTTTGCCGCCTGTTCTGTCCGTAACTCCGCCTGTTCTGTCCGTAACTCCGCCTGTTCTGTCCGTAACTCCGCCTGTTCTGCCCATAAAGCTGCCTGTCATTGTTGTGGAAGAAGAAGAGAAATTCCCAAGCTCGGAAAATCTAGAAGAGCACTTTCCTCAGTTCACACAGGTACGCTAGCTGACAGTCTGCTAGGTGAAACAGAAGGCTGTGAAGCACGTGCAAGGAGCTCCACGTATTACATGGCTTTTTGAAATCTTAAGAATATGCATTTAACATGTTACCGAGGGCCTGCAGCTGTGACTTCACGGGGTCAGCAATAAAGCTGGTTTTGAGGATTTAACATGCTCCACATACACTCCTTCAGTTGTGCTGACCTAAGGGTTTGTGGAGCTTCTGCAACCGGGACAAGAATTAGTCCAGGTTTAAGAACAGTCTCCCAGAGAGCGCTAACCTGATTCACACAGGTGGGTTGGCTCTGCCTCTTAACCTGTCCTACCATGGCAGCAGAGCCTGAAAAATAAGCTTTTGCTGATCCACAGTGTCACGTTGCTTGTGGGAGACCTGAGCATCTCGTGTACATCCCCAGGATGTCGCAGTGTCGCGTGTGTGCCCTGGGCACGGTCGCACTGTGTGTAACTCACAAGGGGTCGACTTGGTTACGCTGTTGAGCAGGGAGAGGGAGTTTACCGGCCTTGTTTCAGTTGACAGCTGCCCGCGGGTTCGTGTCCTCGATTCTCTGTCTCACAAGTCCTTCCCCGTCTCGTCGTTTGTTTCAGGCCATGGAGAGAGAGGTCGTTGCTGCACTTGGCAAAGGTGATCCAGATGAGGTCTTGAGCAGTGCCTTCAAACTAAAGGTCACTCGTGCGGACATCCACACACTCAGGAGCCGTCGCTGGCTAAATGATGAGGTAAAACTACTTGCAGCCCAGTGACACTCTCATCTGTGTAAAAGTACCTCTTCACTGTGTAAAAAGTCTTTTCAGAGTTACTTGATGACTCCCCTGCAGAGCCTAGAAATCTCTGCACAACTCTTGGTTTAGGTCCTTAAGGGTGTAATGTTTCTGAAAGTTCCTTTACTCCTTGTATTACACAGCTTCCAGGAATGAGCCAAGGTTATTGGGGTGGGCGGTGGGTGGTTTTATCAAACTGCAGGAGGAACCAAGTACAAAACTCTCGGAATTAAAGTTGGCAGCTGAGGCTGGAGTTCTCTCAGCTGCGTACTGAAGGGTGGCCAGCAAAGACACCTTGCTGTATTTTTCATTTGGTAAGCTAGTGTCTTATTTTACATCTCAAGTTTATTCTTCGTGGTACAGGTCATTAATTTCTACATGAGTCTTCTGGTGGAAAGAAACAAAAAGAACGGATATCCAGCAGTCCATGCTTTCAGTACTTTCTTTTATCCCAAACTAATTTCGGGGGGATACAACAATGTAAGAAGATGGACCAGAGGTGTGGATCTCTTCAAGATGGACCTCATCTTAGTGCCCGTTCACTTGGAAACACACTGGACACTAGTGGTGAGTCAAACTGGCTTTTTATTTAGAATTGGATGGGGAGAAAAAAAACCTAGCAAGACAAGTCATTTAGGCTTCTTGTGTGGAGCACAAGGTTGGGCTTTGTCTAACAGTTGCCTTTTAATAACAGGTCATAGATGTCAAAGAGAAGACCGTCAGATACTTTGACTCAGCAGGACAAGACGGGGACAGCATTTGTCAAACTTTGCTGTAAGTAACTGCTCAGTCACCGCTTTTATGTTGGGAATTACGAGATGACGTTTGGATTTGTGTCCCTGTAACGCGACAGCGGGTTTCCACAATTCTTGAGGATAATGAAACAGCAACCTTTGATTCTCTTGCTGCAAGCTGAGTGACAGTGACTACTTATCTAGTCTCAATGGTGCCCTCTCCTCCCAGGGTCTTGGATGCCTGGATTCTGCCACCTTCCCACTATGTGCGCTGACAGAGCGTCCCTGTGGCAGCCCCGTGGCACACGTGTACTCACTTTGTTCATCATCAGCAAAACTGGGCTGTTGATGAGAGGGAAGAACTTCAGGAAAGTGGTGTAAAACACCAACCTGTGAAAGGATTAGAGCCTCCCAAGAGCTTTTTAACTCCCCCTTCTTTAGGAACTTTCAGATTCCAACTTGGTGGCGTTGGTGTCCTAGGGTCTGTACGCTCCTGTTTGCAATCAGCTCCACAAGTGCTTCTACCCTTCCTTGCTTAGCTCTTTTATCCTTGTGTTGAGGCCTTTCTCCCCCTACACTCGCAATGTTCATCCTTTCTGCTGTGGTGAGCTGTGTAATTTGGTTTGTCTGTAATCTCAAGTGGAACGGGTACAGTTCTCACATTGTGCAAGCCAGGGTCCTTAGATGTCTTTGCCGCTGGTGCGACAGTAGTAAAACCCTTAATCCAAGAGATTTGTAGCCCGAGAGCAGCTCCACAGAGACAAACCAAGTGTTGTTTTAGCTCTGTGCTCTCCTGAACAGATAACAGCAGGTGCCGGGGAAAAGGTATAAGAACAGGTCTGCATCAAATCATTTTTTCCTCAGGAGGAGGAGCTCCAGTTCCCAGGAGCTGGTGGCCTGGGAACTTCCTCAGCCAGACGTATTAGCCCCAAAGCTTTTGTATGTGTTTTTCCAGAGGTGCACCCAGTACGTGGGGTAGAGACACACGGCAGAATTATGACATTATGGTTCCTTGCTTGTTTCTTCTGTTCCTCCTCTGCTAACGTGTGATTTGGGGGTTTGTGACCTCTGCTAAGCAATGAGTTTAATGCTTTTGTGGAAGTCTCTGTTGGAATTGTCTATCTGATTCCTGACCTTTAGCTTGCAGCTTCTCACTGTCTGGGTGAATTTTAACATTTGGACTTTTCCTCCAAATGCCTTAAATCAGGTGCTGTGAGGAGCCTCTGACATTTCATTGTCCTGCCATTGCACCTTCCTGCGCTCCTTCAGCCCCTCGGGGGTTTTTGTTGGCCTGAGTGATGGTGATGAAGAGTGACTTTTCCTTTTGTTTTCAACAGCCAATACCTAAAACAAGAAAGCCAGGAAAAAAGAAATCTGGAGCTGATTTCTTCGGAGTGGACTATTCACAGCATGCAGCCACATGTACGTGAGCACTGCTGGGACTGGAAATAGGAACTATGAACTCCTTGTCACAGAGGTCTTAATAAGCCCGAGCCTTTAGAGAAGAGCCGGAAGCATCTCACGGTCTCACGATGCCACGCCAGGCTGCGAGTCAACCAGGATGGGATATGGGATATTTTATCCCATGCTGGGATAAAATCTATAAGTGGAGCCTCTCCTTGCTGGCTCAATACTTACTTTTTTGAGTGGTCTGCCTCAAAAAAGCCAGGTGAATCTGGCTTTGCCCCCATTTCACAAGTCAGATTTAAAGACCTCCTTAGCTGTTGTCAGAGGATGTAGGCTTCTTGTTTGGGGCCCAAATCCTGGCACAAGACGAAGCAAAAGGTTGAGCTGATGTTTCTCAGCAAGTTAGTATAGAAAAGCGGTACATAAAGACGCGGTTTAAGAAACGCATCGCTGTGCAGACCTCGGGACGCTCTGCAGGGCGGAAGGCTGCTGTCCCTTAGCAGCCGGCCAAGAGTTTGGGTTGTAAGAAAGCAGAGGGGGGGGATGAGGAGGAGTTAATCGGGTCAATGCCTTGTGTTCCGGAGTGGGAAATGGATTGTGCCAGTCGGTTCACGGGTCTCTGGTTAGCGTGGTGGTGGTGTGGGGAGCGTGTGCTGCTTCTGACTTGCTTTGGTGTTAAGAGGAAAATGCTCCATCTTCTTTCAGGAAATCCCTCAGCAAATGAATGGAAGTGACTGCGGGGTTTTTGTGTGTAAATATGCGGATTTTATCTCCCAAGAGAAACCGATGACCTTCACACAGGTGAGTGAAGCACAGCTCCGGGCTTTTCCGCACGGATCCGGGAGCCGAGGGATGTTAGGCGGCAGGTGTTCAGAGTGGCCGGGGCAGGGGCTGAGCTCTGTCCCTCTCTCTGGTTTGGGTGCAGAGTCGCTGGGGTGGGAACTCCAAAATAGCCTCAGCAGGGTGGAGCTGTATTCTCCATCCTTAACACCTGGTGTCTGCTTCCTACTTGAATCCGTGGGATTCCTCCTGGCTCGGGTACCACAGCCAAGTGGGTGTGGGATAGCTGACCTTTGTGTCTTGTGGAGAAATGGGTTTCACCCTTTGAGCAGTTAAGACACCAGTTTTTTTCCAGTGTGGTGGTCTCGTAAGCTGCTGTGAAGTGAGCTGGTTTTGCTGGGTTGGCGTGTCTCGCCCTCCCAGGAGCTGTGTGGGTGAAACCCAGGGTCGTACGCCGACAGTCCTTAAAGGGAATTTCACATTAAAGGATTAGGTGGGTGTTTATTGTGTGTTTTTTGTCTCGACTTCATATTTAACGGCTATCTCGCTTTTCTTTTCAGAGTCACATGCCTTACTTCCGCAAAATGATGGTGTGGGAGATAATCCATCAGCAGCTGCTGTGAGACATGCACTACTAGAGTAACACTGTGATCACCGGGTGGTGACTAATTCTTACCTTAGTTATTTTTCTAATACTTTATTTGAAGAATTTGTAACAAATCCATAGTTGAAGCCCCTGTAGTTGGGGTTGGTTTGTTGTTTGTTGGATATTTTTTGTTATTTTCTGTCCCCAGGGAATTATCTAATGTAAAAAGAGAAGTATTTATTTCTTTTTAATAAAGTAACTTATATATTTAAGAGCTTTACTGGGATGACTATGAAATAGGGATTGGGGTTTTTAATTAAAAAGTAGTGTGAATGGGGGTTTTAGCTCACTTAAAATCTGCGTGGTAGAAGACTCCAGGCAGGATGAGTGCCGGAGCACGGAAGCCTCTAAGCATTGTCCTGAGGGATGCCACACAATCCCAGGAATACCAGGGTAGAGGATTCCTCTTGGTGATACCCCACTAAAGTGCTCGAGGAGACAAAGCCCGTGTGCACAGCTCGGCGAACGCGGGCCGTCTGTCTCCACGCAGCGGGTGGGAATGGGCCAGCACCAACGTGCCGGGCTGTGGGTGGGTGATTCCTGGCTGGTGATGAGGCGTCTCCTCAGCTCTTGGGGGGAAAGACGGTGTTTTTGGGACATCCCCTCTGTTGTCATGGGTGTGATGAGCCTTCGGGGGGCTGCTCCTCGCCTGAAGGTCTGCTCTCCTGGGAAAGGGTTATCTGTGGTGCGGGTCAGCAGCTGCACCCGTCTTCGCTTTCAACCGGATTAGCTTAATCCCTCACCAAACCAGAGGAGGTTCTCCAAAGAGAGAACTTATCTGTCATGTTTTGTTCTTACACGAGATGCTTCATCTTCCCTGGATCCCCGAGGACTCGGGAGATTTTAGCTGTCTGTTAATGCTGGGCTACCGCCGCTGAAGGCTTTAAGCATCGCTCCCTTCGGTCTTGTCGTTTGGGGGAGGCCGTTTTGGGGCTGACCCTGCAGTGTGCTGATGGCAGCAGCAGAATTGTCCTTGTTTGAGGGAGGACACCACAACAGCCAGCCCCGGGACGCGGGGCTGGTGGCGTAAGGATGCTTCCCAGCTCCTTGTACGTGCTCCGTAGGCAGAGGGGGCTCGGACGTTCGGAGCGGGCTACAGCTTACCGGGAGGTGTGCCTTACCTTACAGCGGGTGTCGTGCTGCAGCGGGGATGCTCGTCATCCGGCCCTGCCCACTTCTGGGGTGACAGGGTCCTTTCTCGCAGGAAGGCTGTGGGGGGGGCTCGGACAGCAGGGCTGGCTCCGTGCTGGTGAGCACAGGGCTCCCCTGGGGTGGGG